GTACTGAACACCCATTACATTACTTCCTGTTGCTTCTGTGTGCATCTCACATCCACCTTTCCATAGGGTGGTTCTTTCTGGGTCATTTGCTAATATACAATATTCAAGTTCCATTATCCATAACTGACGTTTCTTATGTCCGGTCTGTACAAGACTTTGAGATATGAATCCTATTTCGTGTGCAAGAACATCATTCCTAGCACACTCATTTCCACCTCTGTACTAATCTGGGTATTTGGTTTTCTATTTTTCAGGCCTTATTGAAGTTAAAACAGATGAGTTTCCTCGCCACGGGAGCAACATAGAAGCTGTGTCCAAGCTAAAGCCTTACTTTCTTACAGATGGGACAGGAACAGTAACCTCAGCTAATGCCTCAGGTTAGATTTTTCTGACAAGTATTTTTGGGGGAAATTCTGTTTTTTGCAAGGTCTACTACTTTTTCAAAATTTTGATTATATAAAAAATTATTGTTAAAGCTCAGTTTAAGGAAAAAGGTTTTCTTTATATTTGTTCATTGGCATATTCCATACTGAAACTGATTTTGCTCCTTCACATTCCAATTAGTCGTTCAAATGAAGGAAATTAAGGAACTCATTTGTGTACCTTTGTACTTATTTCCAATACTGGAAACTTCCAATACCTCTTGGTGAGATCTGGGCTTCTTCATTTTCTTAAAAACCTCCCCATCTCCATTGCTGTAACCTTGCCTTTTTTTTTTTTCTTTTTGAGACAAGAGTTTCATTCTATCTTGGGTAGAGTGCTGTTGCATTATCACAGCTCACAGCAACCTCAAACTCTTGGGCTCAAGCAATCCTCTTCCCTCAAGTCTCCCAAGTAGCTAGAACTATAGGAACCTGCCACAATGCCCAGTTATGTTGTAGAGATGGGGGTCTTGTTCTTGCTCAGGCTGGTTTCCAACTTCTGAGCTCAGGGAATCCACCTGCCTCAACCTCCCTGAGTGTTCCATTTCTCTGGTTGGAATGTTCTGGGGTTAATTTCACACCATATTGCCAGACTTAACGTGAAGTCTGGTGAATTATAACAAAGGCTTTGCCAAGATACAACTCATGTCTTCAGGTGGAAAATAAAGTAGCCACAGATATGTAACTGGTTAGTGAGCGGTACAGCAGTTAGTCACTCCTATTTTACAGGAATGAACGATGGAGCGGCCGCTGTGGTTCTTATGAAGAAGTCAGAAGCTGTTAAGCGTGGGCTTACACCATTAGCACAGATAGTTTCCTGGTCACAAGCTGGCGTGGACCCTTCCATTATGGGAATAGGACCAATTCCAGCCATCAAGCAAGCTGTGAGTGAACTGTTTTATTGTCTTGTTGATGTTCTGGGATCACAACAATAACCTACAATTTGGCATTAACTCCTTCCCTCTAATCCTTTGCTTAGATCTTTTTTTTTTTTTTTTT